GAAGCTAGTCCTTAAAAATAAATGTCAGGAATGTAAAATCTGTTTGTGGTTAGGTACCAGTAAGAGGGGGAGAGCGAAAGAAAGGAAAAGGTACAAGGTAGTTGAATATGGTTGAAGTGTTTTATTCACAAATATGAAAATAGAATCCATCATGTTGAATTTGCTTTAAGAAAGGTATGGAGGGACAAGGGGGGAGTGATAGGGTAGATAGATTTGATCTCACACATTACAAACATATATGAAAACATCACAAATGAAACTCCTTTGTACAACTAGTATATATTAATAAAAATGGACAAAAGAGAGGGATTTATCCATTCTTTGATGACCCTATTATCAACAATTTTCCCAAAGCCAGCAATCATCATCTCTAGTTTTTCTCTCTATAATTTCCCAGAAAAGATTAAACTGCTGAAAAGATATTTATAGTGTTCTTAAAAGTTTGAAAATCCTGCTGGGAAGGTGGCTCAGTGGTAGATCACTTGCCTTGCATTCCTGAGGCCCTGGGTTCGATTCCTCAGCACCACATAGGCAAAAAGAAAAAATCCGGAAGTGGTGCTGTGGCTCAAGTGGTAGAGCGCTAGCCTTGAGCTGAAGAGCTGAGGGACAATGCCGAGGCCCAGAGTTCAGGCCCCAGGACCGGACCTAAAAAAAAAAAACCAACAACAAAAAAAAGTTTGAAAATCCTTCAAAGATTCTAAAGAACCTCAAAGAAAAAAAGGTATTTGTGTGTACATATGTGTGTAACAAATTGTATTTCAGGTGAATCTTTTCTATCCATTTGCAAAAAAAATACATTAACAGTTATAGACAGACATGGTAGTAGGTATCTATAATCTCAGCACTTAGGAGACAGAGGCAGGTTGGATCTTGAGTTTAAGGCCAATCTGGGCTACATAATGAGACCCAGTCTTTTAAAAGAAAATAAACCAGAAAAGCCAATTACATTTTTTTTTACTATAGATAAACTGGTAGAGATAGGAGTATGTGTTGGGTTGCTAATTAGGCCAGAATTGCTGAAAACTAGGAACGTTTCAGTCAATGTTTACTTTTTCTACATTTCTTTGAAGAAAGCAGAGATATTCACAGTCATATCATGCATTTTTCTCATTATTTTTAGTTGCACAGAGTATCATGATATTTCCATACATACATATCATGTACTTTGATCATATTCATACCCTCTATTACACTTTCTTTTTCCCATTCCCATTCTACATGCTTAACAGTCCCTCTTTTATTTTTCATGCCCCTTTCCTGTGCCCCTTTCTTTTGGCTAGTCCTGGGGCTTGAACTCAGGGCCTGGGCACTGTCCCTGAGCTGCTTTTGCTCAAGGCTAGCACTTTACCACTTGAGCCACAGCTCCAGTTCTGGCTTTTTCTGTGTATGTGGTACTGAGGAGTTGAACCTAGGGCTTTATGCATGCTAGGCAAGCACTCTACTACTAAGCCACATTCCCAGACCCTTTCCTATACCCCTTGATTCCACATGAGAGGAAAGGTATGATACCTGTCTTTGTGAGATTGGCTCATTTCCCTTAATGTGATGATCTCTAGTTCTATTTTCCTGCAAATGACAAAAGTCCACTGGTGTTCATGGCTGAATAATATTTCATTGTGATATATACTATGTTTCCTTGATCCCTTCATCTATTGATAGGCACTTGGGCTGATTCCATAACCAGACTGTCATGTGTAGGGCAGCAGTAAACAAGGGTATGTAACCATCTCTGTGGTAAGCTAACACAGTTCTTTTTTATATATACCTACAAGTGGTATATCTGTATCTTGTGGAAGTTCTATATTTAGTCTGTTAAGAATTCTTTATACTGATTTCCATAATGGCCATGATTTATTTACATTCCCACTGTGTAGTATATGAAAATTCATCTACACCCTCAGTCTCAGTTTGGTTTTCTTGAAGATAGCCATTCTGACAGTAATGAGATAGAATTAAAATGTGGTTTTGATTGGCATTTCTCTAAGGGTTACAGATGCTGACCATTTTATTCATGTTTTTGGTGCCAGTACTGTGGCTTGAACTTAGGGCCTAGGCATTGTCCCCGAGCTTTATGCTCAAGGCTAGCACTCTACCATTTCAGCCACAACTCTACTCCTGGCTGTTTGGTGGTTAATTGGAGATAAGAGTCTCAGGCTGGCTTAACTACATGATCCTCAGGTCTCAGCCTCCTGAGTAGCTAGGATTATAGGCATGAGTCACCAGCACCCAGTTCTTCATTGATTTTTAATGCTGCTCTTACACTGGTGTAATAAGCATTTAATGCTTGTTGATTATTACTGTTGCAGACGATGTTTTTCCTACTAAATTCAGTTAAAATATATATCTTATCTAGTATTTCATCCATTCATTTTTGTATATCTCCTAAGTATATTCAGAAGAAACAGCAAGTATCTGCTTGTATCTGATTAAATAGAAGCTACTAGAAAGCCAGTTGGTCCTGCCAATCCTATTTTTCTTTGCCTTTTACTCTCAAAGGTCCAACTTGTCACTTTGTTGACAGCTATCAGAGAACTTCATGCTTCATTGGAAACCCATCAAACATCTCCAAACTGCTAGCTCATTAGCACAAAATGGGGCTTCAGTAATCTTTTTCTCCCATTGTCCCAACTATGCCTTATTAAGTGTTCCAGCATTGGTGGACCACTCTGAAACAGTGAAGATAGACCAAAGGGAGTTGAGAGATGGCTGCTAATTAGTCAGTTTTGCAGGAGTGAAACATGGGTAAAGGTAAAGTACAATGGGGAGAAAAGCCAGGATTATCTATGTCAGTGGGAGAATAATGCATGACTTTGCTAGCTCTTCACAAGTCACTGAATGTCAGAGTTGTCCAAGCCCAGGTTTGTCAGAGCTCCAGGAGATCATCTAGTCAAGCCCCCACATTTTACCAGTAAGGGTAGGAGAGACAGTAGGGGAAGAAAGTGACTTGTCCAAGGTCATTCATCTCTTACCCGTTTTCTAGACACCAGCTGGCTTTTGATTATATAACCTCTATGCCATCAATTCTCAGTTACATGGGATACTCACCTTGCCCAGTGATCACTTGGATAATCCAAAATGACACATAAGTTAACCATCGTTTACACTGAGCTTTGTCATGTGTGTTTACACCAACAGTCTAATACATCTGGCTCAAATCTGAGAATTCACAACATTTCAAATGAAATAGGATAGCCACCCTGAAGGTCTGATTCAGGAAGAGCTGGAAAATGAGCCAGCCTGGCTGAATGGACAAGCATCTTATGATGTTATACAGACCCCACAAAGGCTATGTGAATTTCAACAAGTTGTTATGATTCGCACCTTTCCTGGGCCCCAGGCAGAGATAGGAGGAGAGTTGTGGAAAGGGGAAAAACACAGCTTTGTAAACTTGTAAAATCTTTAAAATATACACATATTTAAAAATACATCAAGATTTAAATATATTTAAAGCATAGAATAGGGTATATCATAGAATAATATAGAATATAATAATTATTCTATAATATGATATATAATTATAATATATATAACACATATAATATATTGTATATAATGTATTCCATAATATATTATATTAATTATATGTTATATAAGTATATGTAATAATTATATATATTATATGTAATATATTATAGAATAAAGCATATTATAGAATTTCCCTTCCTCTCTCTGATTTATTCTTCTTCCTTTTCTTACCTTCTCCTTGCAAGGAACATGAACATTTGCTTTGTCTTCTATGTAAACAGATGTATGGTTGAGCCACTGACCTGAAGAACTCACTGTCAGGAGGCCAAACAATAAATGGAAGACTGAATCTCAGGAATGAAGATATAGGGGAGAAGATGGACTAGTGAGCAAAAAACACTAAAAGGGAAAATATGTAGGGAGGAGTAAGGAGTCAGAAGATGTACAGGTCAGTAAACACCCTGCATCTGGTAAAGATTTGTTTGAGGTCTAGTCCAGGAGATCTTTCATCGAATGGAATCTCTTTTCCTGATATGGACCCACCGAGGCTCTGGGATTGTGCTGGTTACCAAAAGTCCCTTGCCAGAACATTTTCATACTTGTACTTAAGTGGCATTATTACAGTTAACATGTCTTCCCTGAGGAAGATGCTGCTGGTGACTGGAAAGTGCCTTGGAACAGAGAAAGGCACAATTGGCAATAGCTAGAGTTCAAGACAATCTCTGCTAGGATTTGCAAGTATCAGCTAAAGTGACAGGAGGGAATGCCTGCTGGAGCTTCTGTTGGAGCAGGAATTGATCATTTTAGTTTACATGGTTTTTGTATTTGGCCTAGAATAAACAGATATCTTGCTGATGGAACTGAGTGCTTTTTTAACCAGAGTGGGCACTTACTTTAAAAAGTATTATTATTATCTTTAAGTAGTTGCACAAAGGAGTTAGCATTTAACAAATAAGTTTAGAAATATAATACCTGTTAAAGGGAAAACTTGCTATGGATAAGAGAAATATAGATAATTCAGTTGTATGAATAAAAGTGAGGATAGTGAACATTAACAGGAGAAATTTATTAGCATTCATTAGTTAGATTCTCTCATTTGTAGCTGGATACTGGTAGCTCTTGTCTGGAAATCCTAAACTACTCAGGAGGCTGAGGTCTAGAGGATTGTGGTTTGATGTCAGCCCAGGCAGAAAAGTTCTCAAGTACCACCTCTGAAAATAACCAGCAAAAAGCAGGGCTGGAGGTGTGGCTCAAGCGGTAGAAATCCAGCTGAGCAAGCAAGCCAAGTCAAAGTGAGGTCCTTAGTTCAAACCCTAGTACTGCCTCAATCAATCAAAATCAATCAACCAACAGGTTCCCATTTGTGGTCTTTTATTTGGTTCAGAAAGCCATTTCAAATGGCTGGTCTCATTGTATCCTCCATATTTAAAGTTCTGCCTGGTGCTGAGAGCCTTCCAAGGATGCTAAAAGAATGAGTCACTCAAAGACAACTTCTGAAGTTCAACTGTGGCCCTTTGCTTTGCTTTTCCCTGCAGGCAGCAGTATTTGTAATGACAATGGAAGTAAAAGTATAATGCTGATTAATTTACTGAGAGTTGCCCCCTATTTACCAATATTGGTTTGTTTTGTCTAGAGCAGTGGCCTAGAAGTGGGATCAAAAGTATATCTAACGTCTTTTGGCTAGCCTATGATTTGTCACACAAAGGTTAATTTAAAAAAAATGTTAAAGTCAGGTGCTGGTGGCTCATGTCTGTAACCCGAGCTAGTCAGGAGGCTGAGATCTGAGTGTTCAAAGCCAGCCTGGGCAGGAAAGTCCGTGAGACTCTTATCTCCAATAAACCACCAGAAAACTGGAAGTGGCACTGTGGCTCAAGTAGTAGAGTACTAGCCTTGAGCTAAAGAGCTGAGGGACAGTGCCCAGGCCCAGAGTTCAAGCGCAAAGACCACCACCAACAACAAAATGTTAAATTAATAACAATCCATTTAACTTAGTTCAGTTTCTTTGATGGAGTTTAAAAATTCTTGAATGAACATCTCCCTCTGAACTCAGAGCTGTTGTCTGCCAAATTGCACATAAGCTACCCAATCTAAAGTGTTATTCTAACATCTGCAGGGTGGGGACAAATTTAGGGGATGCTATAAAATTCTGAGAGAAATATTAGAACAACAGTAGAAAGCATATACACACCTTCCGCAAAAATCAATTCTTAGTTGCCCCATTAAAAATATAGTTTTTCCTAAGGTCTATATGATTTTTAAATTAACATACATTAGTTGTACAAAATGGTAGTTCTTTGTGCCATTTCCATCCATACATAGAATGTGTTCCAATCAAACTCATCCTGTCTATCACTGTCCCTTGCCCTCTCCTCATTGTTAAAACAATTTCAATTGTTTTCATTGGTCTGTTTGCAGATATGCAAATATTTATCCCCATTTATCCTCTTTGCTTGCCCTCCCCCCTCCCACTGATACCCCTTATGAAGATAGCATATAGAATCACAGTGAAAGCTGTTGATCAATAAGGGGCAAGGAAAGAGAAAGCAATGTGGAGAGAGTTATTCTGACTAAAATATAATATATGTACATCTGACATACCATGGTGAAACCCATTGGTACAATTAATAAACACTCAAAAAATGAATGACAGAAAAGGACTGCATGATTTAATCATCCTTAACTCTTCTGTCCCCTATATACCAACCAAAACACTCCTGATTATGTTGGTTGGATCTCAGTGGACACAGTGACATCAGCCAGTGATTTCCTTCTGATGCTAGAAGCAGGGAGCTGTGTTCATTCTATATTGCTCTACTGTACCACTTGGTATGTTGCCCTGTACATAATAAAAATTCACTGAATACTTGAAGAATGAGTTCATGGGTGATGAGACAACTCCTGACACTGGATGGAATCCATGGTCTAATAAGGAGAAAACTTGCCTTTGTAATAAATGGAATGTTGCATGTAAAATAGGCCATTAGCAAGACCCATTGGGGACATTCTGATTTGCATTTACCTACCTTTCAGGCTCTTACCTCTGCCTTTGCTTTCCATAACTCCAGCCTGAAAACTTTCTCACATGGACTGCCCTCCCTGGTCAATGGGAATGTGTAGGATGTGGAAAGTAAATCCTCTGCATTCCCAATTATTGCTGAGTGCCCTCTGGGTGGCAGATACTAGAAATGCTATGCTGGGAACTTGAAGAGGCATAGATAAATGGTAACTACTCTCTGTGTACCTAACTATGTATCTTTTGAACTTGCAGTCCCACTTTCAGAATACCGTAGTGGGTCATCTTCAAGGTCTTTCAGTGTTGACTCCCTTGTTACTCTTGAATCCTTGCTTATATTTATTAAGAAGTCACCACTCCTAACAACGTCATACATCAATAACCTTGTGAAGTAGATATTCTTATGATCTATACTTTAAGATTGAGTTAACTGAGACATAGTAACTTGCTCAGGATTACAGAGATAAAAAATTGTAGAGCCAGAATTCAAAGTCAAGTTTATCAGACTCCAAGGCTTTCCCAGAGATAGGAAAAGAATTGGCAACTCATACTGGAGGTTGGCTCTTTTGATTTGTGTGCACCCTGTGCAATGCTTCGCTGCTACTTTTGCCACCCTGTGAGCTTCCTTCCAAAGCACCCTTTGCTTTTTTAGAGGTGCGTGTCTTCCCAGATGGACTTTCATTCCTCAAGGCAGGGATTGCATTATTTGTGTCACCTCTTTCCTCAAGGGCTTGCCCAACCTTTGCTTTCAGTAAACAATGACCTGTGATCAACTCCTCAGCTGCTCCGGAGCTGCCTGGAGCCATTCCCCAGTCCTATTTGTGACTCCAATGTTGGGAGGAGCCAGAAAGTAGAATTAATGGGGAAGAAGTCCCCTCACCACTTGCTTTCTGTTTTATTCTCTACAACACAGATCGAAGATGGAGGCAAGGCAGCCTTGTCCCAGAAGATGAGGACTGGTGATGAGCTGGTGAATATTAACGGCACTCCATTGTATGGCTCCCGCCAAGAGGCCCTGATCCTCATCAAAGGCTCCTTTCGGATTCTCAAGCTGATTGTGAGGAGGTAAGGCACAGACTGTTCAAGAGGCTACTAAAACTGCTTGGTTGGTGATAAAGCCTTAATAGAGTCACATCTTTATCATTATCATTTAGGAGAGAGGCAGTTCATAATGACCCTAATTTTTGTAGAACAAATGAAGCAAAATGAAGAGGACAAGAGCTTTAAAGCCTGACATTGCTTCGTACTAGCCATACCCACTTTTCATCAATTTATTTTGTTTCTGTAAAGACTTGGTTTCTTTATTTGTTTTTCGGAGAACTGGGTGTCTCAGTACAGATCAAGGGCCATTTTTTTTGGTCTCCTCTTTCAGAATGTGTGGCTGCTATTCAACTACATATCAACAGACATTTCAACACATCCTGCTGCCAACTCGCGCAGGCAGTCTGGAGTCTGGGGTAAACTCTAAGAAACCTGTCCCCAAGGAGTGTACAGTCTGACAGGGAAGAAAAAGGCGCAGTTGTGCTAAGTTTATTAGCAGCACCTTTTAAAAGAAAGTATTAAAGGAGGTTTCACAGGGTGGTGGGTGATTGTCAAAGGGATTGTTTAGACAGAAATTCCTATTTCTATTCCTATGAAAAGAGATCACTTCAGATGGGCTTCAGAGAGAAGAGGAGGTGGAATCTGAGCTAAAAGGTGGGTGGAATTTGAACACTAAAGCATCGGAAAGGGAGACATTACAAGTAAGTGGAATGGTGTGAGATTGATGAAGGAAAAACACAGTTGAAGACAGTCATTCTGCTGCCACCAAAGTATCTTCCCATTAGAAAGCTTTCCATATTGTATGTGATGTTGATGATGAAGCCCAATCGTCACATATTACCATCCAACTATTCCTGCCTTTCTTTCATTTTCTTGCTGTATCTTTGCTTTACATTGTTGTAGCTTAGATTTTTTTTCATTTTCTATGGGATGGTTTCCTTTGACCTTATGCACATGCCAACATTTCTCCATCTTAATTATCATTTCTTAAGAAAATTATCTTTAAGTAGTTGTACAGAGGAGTTGCTATTTCACAAAGTAGTGTATGAATATCTTGATCACATCTTAATTATTTTATGGGACAAAATTATAAAAGCAATATCCTATAAGATTGCTTCTTACAAATGTACTCATTGCCTTACTCATGTAACCGTAACCCCTCTGTACAGCATCTTTACAATAAAATAAAATTTATAAAAAAAAGATTACTTCTTGCTCTGGTTGCTGCTCTATTTTCTTCCTTTGATGTATACTTAGCTTCAGAAACAGAGTCTGTACTGTATGCATTGTGTCTACTTTTGTGCCTGCCGTTTAGCTTTCCAACCCCTGCAGTTTGAATTTGGCTCCCCAAACTCCATTGAAATGACTCCCAGAACACACCTTTTTATCTCTTAGCTTCCAAAACCAGTAAACTATTTTCAATCTTCACCATCTATGATTTATATATGGAAAAATATATGATGGCTCTTGACATCATTGAATGAAATTCTTACTTTGATGATAGCCTGTAACCTGTTGTTTTCTTCCTTCTTTGTCTATTTTCTGGGTGTAATAAGATTTGAATTCCAAGTCTTATGTTTGATAAGCTAGTGCTCCACTACTTGAGCTATGCCTCCAAGCCTTTTTTGCGTAAGGTACTTTTCTGATAGGGTCTATTTATTTCATTTTCTTAGGTCAATCTGAGACCACCATACTCCTACTTAGGCATCACCTATAACTAGGATTGTAGCTATCTATCACCATGCTCATTTTGTTTGCTGAGATGGGGTCTTCACTAGCTTTTTGCTTGGGCTAGCCTCAAATTATGATCTTCCTAATCTCCCCTACCCAAGTAACAATGATTACAGGTATAAGCCACTGAATCTGGGAAGTTCATTAAAAAAATAGGTTCTTTTGCTACCTATTATTTTCCTTACCATCCTGTAAAAGCTGGCATTTTCTGTAGTTTCTTTCTTTCTAACTTCATTCATATGCTATGGGAAATCATATTTCTCTACCATAGCAGAATCATATAAATAACTTTCTACTGCATGTATATTCTTATGTGTCTCTGAAACATTTGAAGCACAATGTGCTCAAAACCTAGCTAATCTTCCCTTACCCAGCTCCTTACATTGGTGACCATACACTCAGTTAACCAAGCCAGAAACAGATCTTAATTTCTTCATTGTTCTCAATTCTATAATTTATCCCCAAAATGATTTGAGTTTAGGAAGGGGAAGGATATAGCATCCCACTGGTTTATTACATTATCTACCAGTACCTAAGATTAAGCCATGCCTGCCCATGTATGTACCTGAACAGGAATGATATATTCAGTAGTGCTTTATACTATGCAAAAAGTATATCATTGATTCAGTCTTGTTTTGTTTTTATGGTGCTATGGATGGAATCCAGGGCCTTGTGCATGTTCAGTAACTAAGGAACTACCTTTCTAGCCCTTTGATTGGTGATTTTGGTTTTAAATGGAACTTCTTGGAGATGGGGCTCAATAAGAATTCTTATTTGGGAGTCCAATAGGCCCATATACACTACTCCCAGATTCTATCCTAGCATGCCTTTCACATAATGAATTCTGTTCCTTTGTCTGAATAAATGAATCACAAATGCAGTGGAGGAAGCAAACATTGTTAAATAGGGAGTGTACCCGAAATGTAGTATGCTTTGAAGCCTAATCTCTTGCTGGGAAACCATTAGGGGTGGAAATAATTCCCTTGTGAGATGCTGGCCATACATAGCTGCACTTTGAGTGGGCAAGGACGCTTGCCAGTGGCTACTGAGTCAATTTCACCAGAATGCTAAATTCCTGAGTTTTACCCACTCATTCTTCCTTGAGAAATTCCCAATCTTTTTTTCCCCCTCTGTAGCAAAATTGCCACTACAAATCACTTAGGAATAGCTGTGTTTATGACCTCCAAGTCCCTTTGGTTTTGTAGCAGGTCCTATGGGTCCCTGAATCTGTAAAACTTATCTCTGCTCCTATTGGTGGAGGCCTTCATTGCATAATTCATGAGCTGATGCTGCCCTCTTGTGGAAAACTTTACCTTCATCTGGACATTCCTTCTTGTTTCCAACAAGGTTCTTCCCACCTCCCCCCCTCCCTTAAATTTATGACAAAGTTTTCTGTTCTTCATAAATTGACACATAAAATAATTCAAGTTCATTTAGTTTATGAACACTCATCCTAGAGTTGTTTTTTTCTTTTAAGGAAGGTATGCCTTTGGTTTGAGTAAGTAATTGACTAACAATGATCCAATACTGGGCTTTAGGTCTTCGCTTAAGTCCTTTGAGAATGAACCTAAAGAGAAGCAACTTTAGAAGATGCCCTATTTTGAAAAGCTAGCCTAGTTCATCTTCCTGTATTGCCTTTGAAATAATGATTATTTACTTAGAAATCTAGGTGCCATACAACCTTCTCCCTTGCCTGAGCCCCGGATTCAAGTAATTTCAAGTCTGGATGTTTCTAATCTGCTAAAAAGCTTTCTGTTGCTTTTGTCTTAACCCAATCACTCATGATTTCTCACCTGAACTATTTTAAGAGCCTTCCCACTGGTTTCTCAGCATTCAGTCTACCTCCTTCCAATCAATCCGTTTTCTAAATAGACATCTGAGCGGGTCAGGAACAAGAACCATGTTGTTCTCAAAAAGATACACTTTATATTGATGGAAGATACCAGCTGGATAGAGGATAAACTATTTTTTACAAAAATATGTCATCTAAATATATAAATATACAAAGAAAAACTTATTAGCAGTACAAAAAGGAAAAATTATGGGACTGCCTATATGGTGGATTATGACAGTAGAGCACACTGAAACATTAATACTGAGAGGAGATGAAAACATAATTCATTAATTACTAAATTTCAAAAATTATATTTCACAGTGCATATATAATCTTTTTAAATATTTAATGATCATTTAAAAATGATCATGTTATGCCACAAATTTTACAAACTCCTAAGAGTAGAAATTACTTTTTTTTCTGATGGTAATAAATTGTTTACAAATTTATAAAAAATTAAACTAAGATCTTCAACATGATTATATCAGAACTCATTTATATGCAAGTATTAGCTAAAAAGACACTAGAATACTAATAAAATACTAAAATATGAGATCATGGCTTATCAATAATTTGAGATCAGTATTCAGAAGTAAATTCACAATCTTAAATATTTTATAATTAAAAATGGAGAATGAAATTACATGACTAAGAATCCAATATAATATAATGCCAAAGGCTATGTTTTTTTGGAGGGAATAAATTAAATAGATAAGCCTCCAGCAAATTTAATCAAGAAAACAGAGATGAATTATAAACGAAATTTCAATAAGAAATGAATAAAAACAAATGCAATGAAATTTTCCAAAATTAAAGACAGTTCTATAATTATACCTTTGTAAATATTAAAAATCTTACAGAAATTTCACAGATATAATAGCGATGTGAAAATTATTGATTGGTTGTAAACTAAATAGGCCTGTAACAATAGAAACATTGAAAATAATCAATGAAAAACTTCCAAAAATACTGTGAATCTTTGAGTTCCTTCATATTTTCTAAAATAGACAGTCTAATTTTAATAGTGTTGTAAATTTCAAAATGTTGTAGTTTTCTACATTGTTTTTAAAATGAACATTATTTTGATACCAAAACCCAACTGCTCCAAAAGAGAGTATACTAAATACAATTCTATAAAATTGGATTCAGTAATATAGGAAAATAAAAATTATGGCAGGTGTTAAGCTATCCATATCCATATCCATGTTATTTTTGAGAGGATTTTGGTATCAAGCCCCAGCTGTTCTCTAAATTCTGATTCTCCTGCCTTAGCCCCCCAAGTGCTGGGATTATAGCTAAGATATGCCTAGTTAAGACAAAAAAAATGTAAAAATTTTGATCAAGCATAGTGCATACCAAGGCCGGGATGGGGTGAAGTTAGCCCAAGATTCTGAAAAATAGGGCTGGGAAGGTGGCTCAGTGGTAGAGCGCTTGCCTTGCATGCATGAGGCTCTGGGTT